ATTTAAAATGTAATGTGAACGTTCACATTTAAAATGTAATGTGAACGTTCATATTTAAAATGTAATGTGGACGTTCACACAAAAAGATCGGATTTTTTCAAAAAAATCTGAACTGAGCATTAAGACCTGCAGTGTGAACGTAGCTAAAGACCTCCCAGAAACTTCACCTCACTGACTACAGATCTCAACACATTCTACTCTAAATGGAGCATCAGTTGTTTTCTATTACTAAATATCATGTAATTTGTTTTATCCAAATTTAATGACAATTTATTATGTTTAAACTAAGTTTGTACTTTTACAAATTCCATTTCCATCGTTTACAGCATCTTTTCCATGTTTTTAGCCAAGCAAAGATGCCGTCTGCAAATAAAACACATCCAAACATCCTGCTCATGCTTATCGAACTGAACTGATTTATGGAGTAACCGTCTCCAGTTGACAGAAACGTCTGTGTTGTGGTCCCTGCAGGTCTGCTGGTGGGGGCGCTGGACACGGTGCTGGACTCCAACGCCAGGGTCACACCCTTCCGCATCCTGCTGCAGGTTCCTGGCTCCCAGGTCAGCTGGGTCATCGCCAGCGGTGAGTGGTCTGTGATCTGCTTTGACACGTGACGTCAGGTCAGGGTGACGGTGCTGTACCTCTGTGTTCACCAGGAGCTGCTGCAGAGGAGGTGAACAAGCACTGGGACTGGCTGGTCCACAACCTGCTTCACTCTCTGTCCGTGTTTGAGAACAAAGAGGATGCTGCTGGCTTTGTCAAAGGAAAAGTGAAGGTCTGGATGGTGCCAGTGAACATAGAAACCCTTTAAGAGACATGACTGTAATAAAACCCTGCTGTCTGAAGTGCTGACCGTAGATCGCCTCCTCTGCAGGGTCTTATTGCAGAGGAGGCTCGAGGACGCCAGGCGGCTCAGGAGGAGGATCCGGAGAAGTTCCGGGAGGCGCTGCTGAAGTTCGAGAGGCACTTCAGCCTCCCTCCCTCTGAGAAACTGGTGACGTTCTTCTCCTGCTGCTGCTGGAAGGGCCGGGTGCCTCGGCAGGGCTTCCTCTACCTCAGCATCAACCACATGGCCTTCTACTCATTCCTGCTGGGGAAGGAAGGTCTGCACAGCGTTTACACAAAACTGTACAGTCAGGGAGTCTTTAAACAGTGGTTTCTGTTCCTTTCCCTCCACCAGTGAAGTTCGTCATCCCCTGGGCAGAGGTGACACAGCTGGAGCGGCTCTCCACTGCTCTGATGACCGAGGCCATCCGGGTCACCACCCGGCAGCGGCAGAGGGAGTTCTCCATGTTCCTGAACCTGGACGAGGCCTTCGGGCTCATCTGTCAGCTGGCTGACATCACCCTGAGGCGTCTTCTGGACAGCGAAGGCCTGGAGCTGGACCGGGTTCTGCAGCAGCCCGCACAGATCACCAAGAGGTCAGAGCTGCTTCCAGTTAATGTTCTCAAATCAAACTGACCGCAGCGTCTTTAGGTCAGCTTCTTCAGTTCTTCTGCGTGTTTAACTTTGTAGTTGGACAAAAAAAACCTTCAAATCTGGACTCTTAAAACCTGATTACTCAGTACTTTTACTATTTTAAATAAAACTAGAAAATTTCTGTAGAAATTTAAATGGAGCTGGCCCAAGTGTGCCTAACTTGGAACCAAAACTTGGCCCAGGAAAACCAGAAACCCCTAAGAACTGCCTAAAATCAAAATCTCTTCAGAGGTCAACAAAGGTCATCAATATCCAGTTAAATTTATTTAATTAATGTGTTAAAGTCCATAAACATGTCATTAGATCAGTGTAGTAATTATATACACTTATTTTTATCTTTGTTAGGAAGGATATTTTATTTCACAACCAAATAAAGCAGATTCCTTTCAACTAGTAAACATTTTAACATTCACTAGTTACCATTTAATTATGAAGCATGGAGTCATAAGCTAATGTTAGCTGTTTGTGTCAAGTTACCAGCAGTATTAATGTACAACTTTTAGTAATAAACTAGATACTGCGCTCTTATTTTGAAAATCCAAACGGGTTACATCCTATTCAAATTGCGTCGGAAAACAAACTATAAATATTAAATAAATTTCTTGTAGCACATTATTGTACAGTGGTAGATACTGCGCTCTTATTTTGAAAATCCGAACGGGTTACATTCGGTACGAATTGCGTCAGCCAGGATTGCGCCCTCTGCTGGTCCGGATGTCTAAAAAACGGGACTTGTGGCGGGCATTTTTTAGTTAATTTCTCTGCAGTAATAATTCAAATCAAAAAGTTGTTGAATAGCACACTTCTCCAGTCCAAGACGGTCATTTTGATGTGACTGTTGTGGGGGTACATGCTACGGTTTGAGCTGCATTAAAGGTGGTGGAAGAAGAACAAAGAAATAAATAAAGACTAGGTGAAGAGTAATGGATTTACCAGTGCATGGCAAGTCCCAATAATACTAAACAGTTCTTGAAATGTGTTTTAAATCCTGGTGCAGGTTTTACATCAGCTAGACACCGCAGCCTCTCCCACACAAACCTTATTGTTCATGTGAGTTAAAATATCTTCAAAATCTCCAGGTGTCATTCGTGGTAGGAAGCACCTTTTATCATCTGTCACTGAAAGGCAAAGGTAGCTAATCATGCATGTTTGAGTGTTTCATGAACTAGTAAAAAATTAAATAAAAAAAGCCTTGCAGGAACTAATCATTGACTGTAGTCCTACAACTGATTAACTGTTGGAGTCAAACCAGTAGAAGTTGTCTTCCACATCCAGCTAACTTAAAAACCAACCAACACACAAATATAGCTTCAGTTCAGTCAGTGTTACAGATGTGACCTATAACGTGATGTGGGTCGGTCTGAGGGTAGTTTACACCACATCCTCTGAAGACAGGTTCTCATGCAGAAGGTTGCTGTTGAGATTTGTTCAAAACAACCACAACTTGGTCATTTCCCAACATAAAATGGTTTTAATTTTAAACCTTAACATGAAAAGTGGTGGATGATATGAATTCTTTTTAAATAATGCTAGAGTTTTAATTTATTAAAGGGATCCATGGTTAGTTGTAACATTAGNTTCCAGTCCGATACGAAGTGTCTGCTGCAGGGGAAAAACTCGCTGAAGGCCTTCAAGATCTCCATGGCCCTGGTGCTGATCGGGACCAACCCGAACTTGTTTTTTTTGAAAGGCCAGGGTCAGTACTTGGGTCAGGATCCAACAAGGCCAATCTCTTGCAAGCAAAACATCATCGACATCAACCCTTACACTTTTGAGTGCATTAAGGAGCCGGGGCTGTTCGCTATGGGACCATTGGTGGGAGACAACTTTGTTCGTTTTTTAAAGGGCGGAGCTTTAGGGATCACTTCCTGTCTGCTAAAGAGACTCAAGAAGAGGGAAAAACTCATCACTAACGGAGGGAATAACTTCATTTGAAAACACAAAGTCTGGTCTTAGGACATAGATTTGAATACMTTGGTAGAGTAAAAGTAGAAAACAAGTTTTTATTATGATTTCATCATGAATGCAACYTTTTATCATCTAAGCTTAGGCAGTTTAGAAAACCAAAAAAAGACAATGGATGTACACTAATTAGTTTCTAATGAAACCATGAAAAAAAAAAGCTTTCTAGAGTCTTGTCCGACTTTATATTTAGTCTTCTTATGTCCAAGCTACTGTGTGCCAACGTTTTATGGTCGGCCTGTAATCTTCTAATGGTACGAGACCATATTTTCATCAGGGTTATTTATTCATTCACCAGGTGTCTTCGATGGATCTACCAACAACATTCAGTTCCTTCAAAGTCTTTTAGCTTCGTCGTTCAGGGGTAAGACAATGACATCGTTTCAGTCCATTCACTTTAGTTTTCGTCAGGTAAAAGATGTCGTTTACACACCACCTTAGAAAACATATCAACTTACTGTAACTCAGTCATTCGCAGTCTTAGTAATATGGCAAGAGCTTTATTTCAGAATTTATGAGCCACAATTTAAAGCTAAAATGTCTTAATGTTTCTGATTACTGAGCTGGTTCTAGTCTTATTTTCAAAATATCCTGATTTCAGGTGTTACTGTAGACAGCTGCATCCAGTTTACTGAATCTGACCTGCTGTTTTGTTGATATTGCTACTTAAATATTTTTTTAATTTAGAAATTTATTCATTTCATTTGTAACACTTATATACATAACAAGGAACAAAAACATGCAATGAATCACAGATTTCTATGCAAACATTATTGCTTACTGATACAA